GATACTTGGTTATTCATCATTTTACTACTTGTTGACTCGTGCACTTGCGAGATTCTAGATTCACAAAATTAGGCAACAAGTTTTTGGCGCCGTTGCCGGGGACTGTCTTATTTGAATCTTATTGTTAAAACAATTTTATTCAAGTATTTTTGTTCATTTTCATTAGAGTTTCTGATTGTTGGCAGGTCTTTGGAACATCTTGTATGCAAGAACCTGAGTTATTCCTTCCTGACCCAGAAATTGAAAGAACTTTGAGAAGGAGAAGAAGGGAGCAGCGAGGATTTGCTCACATACAAGAAATGGCTGAGGAAGACGCTCAGGGGATCTTACTAAATCAGGGGCAGCAGCTTAACGCTCTTGAACCAGCTCAGAGACCATTCGTGGTTGATGACCGTGATCGAGCTATCAGAGATTTTGCAGTCCCGGTTCTTGATGGGCTGAATCCTGTGATTGTTCGGCCAAACATTGAGGCCCCACACTTTGAACTTAAACCGGTCATGTTTCAAATGCTACAGATCGTGGGACAATTCAGCGGTATGGCGACAGACGATCCTCATCAACATTTGAGGTTATTCATGGAAGTTAGCGATATATTCAAGCTACCGGGAGTTCCTTCAGAGACTTTAAGGCTGACACTTTTCCCTTTCTCTTTGAGGGATCGTGCTAGAGCTTGGTTTAATAGCCTACCTGCTGATTCCATTATTACATGGAATGATATGGCTGAGAAGTTTCTTATGAAGTATTTCCCTTCGACAAAGAACGCCAAGTAGAGAAATGACATTACCTCTTTTCATCAAGGTGATTGAGAGTCAGTTTATGCGGCATGAGAACGATTTAAGGAGCTACTCAGAAAGTGTCCATTACATGGTATTCCCCATTGGATTCAAATGGAGACTTTTTACAATGGTCTCAATGAACAAACGAGAGTGATGGTTGATGCCGCAGCTAATGGTGCTCTTTTGACAAAATCTTACAATGAGGGCCTATGAGATTCTAGAGAGAATAGCTACAAATCATTATCAATGGCCAACCGAGAGATTACCCACAAGAAAAACACCGGGAGTTCTTGAAGTAGATGCAATTACCGCTCTTTCGGCTCAAGTGTCGAATTTGACCAACATGTTCAAAACCATGAACACTTCAACTAGAGTGAATTCTGTCCAGGCCCTCACACTCTCTTGGGTATACTGTGGAGAGGGGCGCCTATTTGAGGAATGTCTTTCGAATCCCGCTTCAGCTTGTTATGTGAGTAACTACAACCGCAACAATGCTTACAGCCATCAATACAACCAAGGATGGAGACAACATCCTAACTTCTCTTGGAGTAATCAAGGGGTAGGTTCTAGTGGTGCTCCCCTTTATAATAGACCAGCTCAGCAGTCGGGTTTACCACAACCAGCTCAACCAATGTGGATTCAAGCGGGTGAAAATCCAAATTCTTTAGAGAATTTCCTTAAGGAGTACATAACGAAGAATGAGGCTAAAATGCAGAGCCATGATGCAACCTTGAGAAGCTTGGAAACTCAAATTGGGCAACTGGCAAATGTTTTAACTAATCGCCCCCAGGGCACTCTTCCAAGCAATACGGAAAATCCTAGGCGGGAAGGCAAGGAGCATTGCAAAGCCATTTTATTGAGAAGTGGAAAAGCATTGGAGCAGCCACAGGAGAAAAACGAGCTGGATGGAGAGCCCTCTTCGATCCAAAAGGAAGAAAGGCAAGATGGCCGCATGAACCCTGTACAAAGTTAAGATGAGGTAGAACCTAGTGTTGCTGCAGCAACGCAACAGCAGCACAGTTCAGACCAGCAACATCAGAATCTACGTTCTGCTGACAAACAGAATTCTGCAATGTTGAGGCAGCAGCATGAAGCCGCAGGAACGTGCCAGAACAGACCGCCACCGCCCTTTCCTCAAAGATTTCAGAAGAAACAACATGACAAGCAATTTGGGAAGTTTCTTGACGTGCTTAAACAACTTCATATCAATATCCCATTAGTTGAAGCTCTTGAGCAAATGCTGAATTACGTAAAATTTATGAAAGAATTTCTTTCCAAGAAGAGGCGTTTGGGTGAGTTCGAGACAGTGGCACTTACAAAAGAGTATGGGCTGATTTCTCAAAGCACTCTACCACCTAAATTGAAGGACCCAGGGAGTTTCACAATCCCATGTTCGATTGGCAACACTTATTTTGGTAAAGCCTTGTGTGATTTGGGTGCTAGCATAAGTTCGATGCCAATGTCTATTTTTAAGCAGCTAGGTATTGGTGAAGCTAGGCCAACTACAGTCACCCTTCAACTTGCCGATCGATCATTTGTTCATCCGGAGGGAAAAATTGAGGATGTGTTGGTGCATGTTGATAAATTCATTTTTCCGGTGGATTTTGTGGTCTTGGATTATGAAGCAGACAAGGAGGTACCCATTATTTTGGGTAGACCATTTCTAGCCACTGGAAAGACATTGATTGATGTGCAAAAAGATAAACTTACTATGCGAGTTGACGATGAGCAGGTCACATTAGATGTTCTCAATGCTATGCGCTTTCCAGATGAGGTTGAAGAATGTTCGGCTGTAGGTGTATTAAATGCTCTTGTGTTGGAAGAACTTAATAAGAATGCTTATGAGGAAATAGAGGACTGGTGCGTGTTGATAAATTCATCTTTTCGATGGATTTTGTGGTTTTGGATTATGAAGCAGACAAGGAGGTACCCATTATTTTGGGTAGACCATTTCTAGCCACTGGAAAGACATTGATTGATGTGCAAAAAGGTAAACTTACTATGCGAGTTGACGATGAGCAGGTCACATTAGATGTTCTCAATGCTATGCGCTTTCCAGTTGAGGTTGAAGAATGTTCGGCTGTAGGTGTATTACATGCTCTTGTGTTGGAAGAACTTAATAAGAATGCTTATGAGGAAATAGAGGAGGAGGATGTCGCAAACGCTGCATTGGAGGTTGAGCAGGTTGACGATGATTCTCAAGCATTACTGGGAGAAACCGATCAAGTGGCTGTTTGTCAAAGAAGACCATTTAAGTCGCTGGATTTATCTGAGAGAAATTTGAAGCCTCTTAGGCCATTAATTGAAGAACCACTGATTTTGGAATTGAAGCCTTTACCAAATCATTTGAAATATGCTTATTTGGGCGAGGAAGATACTTTGCCAGTAATCACATCATCCACCTTGGATGAGAAACAGGAGGACATGTTGCTTGAAGTGCTTAGAAAGCATAAAAGGGCTATGGGATGGTAGATAGCTGATATTAAAAGGATCAGCCCTTCCCTGTGTATGCACAAAATCCTGCTAGAAGATTGCTGCAGCAATTCAGTGGAACAGCAACGGAGATTGAACCCCATCATGAAGGATGCGGTGAAGAAGGAAATCATCAAATGGCTGGATGCAGGGATAATTTACCCAATTTCAGATAGTTCTTGGGTCAGTCCTGTCCAGTGTGTACCAAAGAAAGGGGGACTGACAGTGGTGGCCAATGACAATAATGAATTGATACCCACTAGAACCGTGATTGGTTGGAGGGTATGCATAGATTATAAAAAGCTCAATGCTGCCACTAGAAAGGATCATTTCCCGCTGCCGTTTATTGATCAAATGCTGGACAAACTCGCTGGGAAGGAGTTTTATTGGGATGGTAGATAGCTGATATTAAAAGGATCAGCCCTTCCCTGTGTATGCACAAAATCCTGCTAGAAGATTGCTGCAGCAATTCAGTGGAACAGCAACGGAGATTGAACCCCATCATGAAGGATGCGGTGAAGAAGGAAATCATCAAATGGCTGGATGCAGGGATAATTTACCCAATTTCAGATAGTTCTTGGGTCAGTCCTGTCCAGTGTGTACCAAAGAAAGGGGGACTGACAGTGGTGGCCAATGACAATAATGAATTGATACCACTAGAACCGTGATTGGTTGGAGGGTATGCATAGATTATAAGAAGCTCAATGCCGCCACTAGAAAGGATCATTTCCCGCTGCCGTTTATTGATCAAATGCTGGACAAACTCGCTGGGAAGGAGTTTTATTGTTTCTTGGATGGTTACTCAGGCTATAATCAGATTGCTGTCGCACCAGAGGACCAAGATAAAACAACCTTCACTTGTCCATATGGAACGTTCGCTTTCCGAAGAATGCCATTTGGTTTGTGTAATGCTCCAGCAACATTCCAGAGATGTATGATGGCGCTATTCACTGACATGGTAGAGAAGACTTTGGAAGTGTTTATGGATGATTTTTCCATCTTTGGCGACTCTTTTGGCGATTGCTTGAAAAATTTAGCTAAGGTGCTTCAGAGATGTGAAGAAACTAACTTGGTCCTCAATTGGGAAAAATGCCATTTTATGGTCACAGAAGGAATTGTCTTGGGCCATAAAGTTTCCCAAAGAGGCATTGAAGTGGATAGAGCAAAAATCAAAGTCATTGAGAAACTACCTCCTCCAACGTCGGTCAAGGGAATAAG